AAGTAGTCATAAAGTGTCTGGTGGTCCTGCAGCAACACTTTGCACTTTGAAGGTGCGAAGTGCATACCAAATAATGGTACCACTCTGGACAGGCTACTCAGGGTTGATTATGCCGCCACAACATCGTCGAAAAGCAAGACGATATCGTCCGCACAATCCAGGTCAACTAATCTTTCACCAGGCAGCACTTCAACGCCTACATTGTGGGATTCCGCAAGATAACACTCCACTATAGAATCCACGACGAAATTGTACAAAAGAGGGGAAATCAGACATCCCTGACGAACGCCACTAGTGGTCGGAAAGATATCCGACGGATCAAAGTAGACACTGACGCGGCCTGTAGTGTTCGAGTATAGAGCACGAAGGATGTTCACATATTTCGTAGGAACACATCCGCGCAAGTATTTCGAACAGAATGGATCGATCGACAGAATCAAACGCACTCTTGAAACCGAGAAACATGGCTATTGTCGGTCTGCGGTATGCATGGCGCTGCTCTAGCACCTGCCGCAGCGTGAATATATGGTCTATAAAGCCACGTCCTGGCCGGATACTGGCCTGCTCTTCCATAATCCGAGATTCCTATTCCACAGTGAGACGACGAACGAGAATCGATGCCAATAATTTTGTCACAACTGGTGTTAGGCTAATACCCCTGTGGTTAGCACAGTCCGTGCGACTGCCCTTCTTGTGTATCGCCACTATAATCGATTCGCTCCAATTAGCTGGGACATCTCCTTCCAGATACGTCCGAATAATGAGGTCAGTGCTTTGCAGAGGACCACATCTCCATCCTTAAATAGTGCAGGTGGGAGAGAATCCGGGTTAGCGGCACGAAAACGATTGAGGGCTGGGATCGCGTTTCGGACCTCGGCCTCCGACGAAGGCTATAAACTAACCGTCCATGGCTCGTCATACATCACCTAAATAGGAAGAGACCTAGGAACAGGGGCCAGCTGAATTGATCTTGAAAGTGCTCAGCCCAACGAACCATACGGCGCTCCTTATTGTGTATCAGGGCACCCGCGTTGTCTCTGATTGTCTCAGTGACGCCCGGTTTTCCAGGACCAGTGGTGCGGGTCAGCTGGAAGAGCTTGCGGTAACTGACTACTGCCCCTGCCTCCTCCATTTCTTGAACCCTACTGGTCCACCAGGCTTCCTTGTCAGCACGTAGGCTCTGCTTTAGTTCACGCCTAACAGCGTGTCTGGTCACATTGTGTTCAGAGCCAGCCAGGAGGTTTCTTCTGGATTCCAACAGGTTCACCGACCTCTCGGATATCCAGTGACTGGTGCGGTGACCATTGATAGTGCCACAAACAGATGCTCCTGCGTCGTGCATAGCGACCGAGATCCTATTCTATTGAAGGTCAGTGTCATTAGGACAAGACAGCGAGAGTTCGGTATGCAATGCTTCTTGATAGGCTTGCCTGACCGAGGGCTGGGACAATTTCTCCGTTGCCAATCGGAGGAGGCGCTTAATGTGCCTCCCGGTAAAGGTCATGGAGAAAGGACAACGTATCAAAGCATGATCAGAGTCGGCACAGGTACTCCAGTACGAGCGGCAATCCAGGATGGAACCACGCCACCTGTAACTTATGGCTATGTGGTCAATTTGGGTCCATCGCTGGCCAGATACAGGAGGACGCCAAATGGCACTTCGGATCCCACTGTGTCAAAAGCAGTGCTACTAAGGAACAACTGGTGCTCCGCACACAGTTGCAGCCGACGCTCACCGTTGTCAGTCCGTTCAGAGTTAAGCCTATAATTACCACCCAGCGGAGCTTCTGAAGAGCTCAAACGCCCTACTTGTGCGTTCAAATCCCCTGCATGTGCTATAATATCTGAACTAGTAGCACTGCGTAGTAGCGCGTTCAGTTCGTGATAGAATGTGTCCTTGAGAGCATTAGAACTGCAGTCGGTGGGAGCAACGTGACTGGACCTTAACGTGGTGCGACGGTAAGCGTACCTCATTGACCGATTGAGCTATACTGGGTGATGCCTCCGGGCACCTTGATAGCTACTCCTACCAAGTTGGTCAATGGTGAGAGGTCAGACAAACTCAGTCTCCTTGTCCTCCAGGTTTTGGAGTTGAAATATGATGACGTCCATTTCTGTAAAACTAAATCATTGCCACCTCCCCGCTGCCTTGCGGACAGGCTTTTGAGCCAAAGGCTTTGGATGAGGACCCTAATCGTCCTCCTGTCTAAGTCTGGGCGCCCTGGCAGTATCTCAGCCCACATATAACCATGACATTTTTTTTGCTTCAGCCACTAAACTAACCGGCCATGGCTCAGACCACATCACCAGAGTGTGAAGAGATCCAGGAGCAGAGGGACAACTGAAATGATCGCGAAAGTGCTCCGCCTAACAAGCCATACGGCGCGTTTTATTGTGAATCTGGGCAGCCGGGCTGTCACTGATTGTCTTGTTGACACCTGGCTTTCTGACACAAGTAGTGTTGACCAGTTGAAAGAGCTTTCGATAATTCCCTACTGCTGCTCCCTTCATTGCTGAACGCCACTAGTTCACCAGACTTCATTGTCAGCAAGCAAGCTCCGCTTCAGTTCGTGTCTAATTGTCGGCCTATTTAAATTGTGCTCAGAGCCAGCCGGGAGTTTTCTTCTGGATTCCAACAGGTTCATCGACCTCACGGATATCCAGTGAGTGGTGAGCTGACGACTAATAGTGCCGCAATCAAAGGCTTTCGCAACGCGCATGGCAGCTGAGAATCTATTCCATAGAAACACAGTTTCACTAAGACAAGAGAGAGCGAAAGTTCGGTACGCAGGGCATCTTGATAGGTTTGCTTGACCCAGGGCTGGGATAATTTCTCAGTTGCCAATGGGGTAGAGCCTGGTGTGCCTCCCAGTAAAGTTTATGGAAATGTGACATCACCAAAGCATGGCCTGAGTAGATGCAGGTATTCTGGAACGAGCGACAAGCTAGAATGGAACCACGCCACCTGTAACTCATGGCGAAGTGATATGTCTAGGTCCATCTCTGGTCAGTATAGTTGGACGCCAAATGGCATTTCGGCGCTTACTATGCCTAAAATCGATTGTACTAAGTCAGAAACTGCCAGTGCTCTACACATACCTGTAACAGACGCTCCGCGTTGCCCGTACGGTTAGGGTTAAGTCCATGCTTATCATCTAGTTAAGCTTCTGAAGAGCTCAGATGATCCCCTTGTGTTTTCATATCCCCTGCAGGAACTATAGCTTCCGAACTGTTAACACCGCGTAGTAGCGTGTTCCGTTCGTGGTAGGTGTCCCTGGAAGCAGCAGAGCTACAGTCGGTGGAGGCATAAGCGGAAACCACCAACAAATAGCGTCTAGTAGTACTAGGTGAACCAACCTTAGTTGATGTCGTCAAACGGGCTGCACAGAAACGGCTTTTCATGGAAATCAAATCAACCAACGGTGACAGTCTTGGAGCTGTGAATGATGTCCACTCCAGCCTCCGGATGCGTGCAACCAATAGCATGAGGATAAACCGGGAGCAGTTAATTCAACAACCCCGCGAGGGTCATGGATCTTAGTTTCGGATGCACAACATACATCAATATCCAGGGTGTCCAACGTGCGTGCGAGTGCAGCCTGTTGACAAAGTTACCTAAGAGTGTGGAGATTGAACGGTGCCAGGGAAACGGGGCAGCGTGGTCTTTCAAAAAGCTGTTGGCAATTGGTGTACAGTAGGGTGGTGCGGGAAGATAGCTGCAGATGATATGACTCCAGTGGTGCTGCGGCTGCAGTCAAATAAGCTGGGAGTTATAGAAGGAAAACCAGTAGTGGAAATTGGGAGGAGAGTAAGAGAAACCGGTGGAAAGGAAAGGAGGGTGTTAGCAGCAGCATGTTTCCGCTTGTTCGCCCGGTTGTATGCAGCAGATAAGGTGACACTTGATAATCTGCGCGACGACCGATGCAGGACGAAGTTTATGTTTGAAAAAGTAATCTTAGTTGTACGTGGGCTTAGACTACTGGTAGGGCGCCCAGATCTACACAAGGGGACAATTAGGGTCCTCAACCAAAGCCTTTAGCTCAAAAGTCTATCCGCAAGGCAGCCAATGTGGCAACGATTCGGTTGTACAGAAATGGACGCCACCACATTTCCAACCCTTAACCTCGAGGACCAGGAGACTGAGTTCATCAGGCCTTTAACCATCGACCAACCTGGTAGGAGTAGTCCTCAGGGGGCCTGAGGTCCTCACCCAGTATAGCTCAATGGGTCAACAAAGTACGCAAACCATCGCACCACATTAAGGTTCAATCTCGTTGCGACGGTGACGATAATATATAGCTAACGCATAAGCTTAGTAAAGAAGCTTGATGCTCATTGAAACAAGCCAAAATAGCTTGAGGAACAAAGTCCAAGAGCCAGGTAGATATCAAAGGCTGCACTGAATCATCATCCAAGACTTTATTATCCGTACGCAACATCTTAATGTAGCTTCACACGCTGAACATGAATCGACCAACGTGGTTTTTTAGCATTACTGTGCTCCACGAGGTAGCGTCTGACAGACAGTACCATCTACAGGTAGATAGAGAGAACAGTTTAAAAGAGAAAAACAGTGAGTGGAGGAAGGGAGGAAATTTGTCATTGTAGGGTCAAACCCGCTTATCTATGTCGTTGTAGGGGTACTATGGAGCTGGGTATGCTGATTCATTTGCGTTGGTCGGACAGAGACACCTACCTCAACAAGTGTTTGTCTTGCTTGGGCTAACGCCGCTAACAGTGTGTCATCACCCTTGAGGTGCATGGCTGCAATGCAACCAATGCAGTAGTGCAAATGTAAACAAGCAAAAAGTGGAGATTACAACCAGCGGTTCTATATTTTTACGCAATAATGTTGAGGCAAAAACAGAGCAAATGGCTAAATAGAGCTACAGATCAATATACAGCAAACAGTTAACTGGTGTTTCTGGACACTAATTACCCAATCGACTTTAAAAATTTGCTAAATAATGAAAGAGATCACAAACTGCTCAAATATTTACCTGCAGTATGTCCTTTCCATCCGCAAGTTGCGTCCCCTTTGAATCCAAGGAATTGACTGAAAGGATAGCGTGACCAATTTTTACATCTTCATAAGAACCGAAGTCAACTATTAGTTTTCCATCATGAAGTTTGAAGCGCAGCGGAACAGGGAAATCGAAAGTTTTCTCCACATCAGTAAAGGGCATTGAGTGCTCATAAAAGTACTGCAACGACCCCGAAGCACTGACAACATACACAGCAAAGACGCTCATCGTGTTGACAGCATAGTGGTCCAAGCGGAAATTATAATTCCAGTGGGCTTAAAAGAGAAGAGAATGTGCATCATCGAGTGGAGGCTTGACAACACAGAAAATACACACAGATGACAACTGTGTGCTGAGACAGGCCAACGAGCGTGCGACTGCAATGTACAATGCGCCGCAGTGCTCGAGTCATGTGACACATTGTATTCGTAAGTTCTATCAGATAGCCAAACCGGTTCGGTTTTTACTTCAGTCTGTTAAATCTATAGAGCAGAAGCACATAAAAGTAAACCAAGGACTGAAAAATAGGAGAGAAAATGGTGCTAATGGTTTGGGTAGTGTTCTCTTGCAATGCCCCAGCACAGTAGAACCGGAGAACTTGTACTAACTGTAGTACATGTCCGGTCGAGGATTCCGATGGTCTCCGTGAGTACGGAGGTAGTAAGAGACCTGGTGAGATCTGCAAAGCAATAGAAATACCTCGCAAGTGACTGGATGAAGTTATCAAAACCACCAAACTGAATGTGGAATGTGCCTGGCTGGCACCAGGTGATCACAGTTGTCGAGAGGGGATCGGGTCGGAGCAGAATAGATTATGAGAACAACGGGCGGTGTACGACCCAACAGTATTGCAAACGGAATGAGAAGGAAAACATTTATTCTATGCATTAGCTAGAGTTGAGAAATAACCCAGCTATTGTTTCGTAATAGAATTAAGTTAGTTCTCAGTAAAAAAACAACAAAAGTAAAACAAAACATTAATATGCTTCCTTTCATCTTATGCATCGGGAAGATCGTGGTTGGAGGGGAAACCTAAGGTTTTGATGTGTGCTGCATCGCCGAAACACGCATACAACATAACAGCGTCATGATGCGTCTTTGACACCCATGTTCCGGATCTGCCGACAATGACTACCCTCTTCGCTTCTCTGGCGATAAGGAATCAATGGTTCAAGATATTCATGGAGTCCGTATGGCCCTCAGCAAGCATGATGAAGGTAACATATTCGATTGGATACCAGTAAACATTCGCAGATGTGTGGTTAGACTTCCAAACTCCATAGGGGTTATAAGCACCGTCTGAAAGTGTCTTTTCAGCGATTCCGTTTATGCCCTTCGGATGGGATCAATATGGATTGCTATCGTGGACTGTCGTCTATTCTTTGGGTGGTGAAATATACCGATATCGTGACTGTTGCTAGTGACACGAATGTCCATGTGGGTCGCTTGTAGGACTCTGAACAACACCTGGGAGGTAGTTCCGGGGTTGATGCACACCGAACAATGGCGGTCGATTCTTGCAGCTGTGTGCCGATCACAATTATTACATTAACAGTAATGCTTTCCAGCATAAATGTTCACACCGTGTCCCCTAGCGCCACCGCATTCTTTAATCTCCTGGACTCAAACTGAACATATCGCTGCCAGCTACAGATAAGGCACATAAGTACAAGATCATCGGTCAATTTGGAGCGCGTGTCTGGATTCCGACACTGCTCTAGTGCACGCACGTCTGGCGCTCAGATGGCTCGTTTCAAGGAAACGCCCAAATCCCAGGTTGCTCCTATGTGCAATAGACGTCCGACTAGGAGCGATAGGTTCTTTCGTATTCATCATCATGTGTAGGTCGCAATAGATCGGAAGACCTGTAATGGAAAGCAGAGAGCGCAGGTGGCTGGATAACCACCTAGTAAGTACGAATCTCGACGAACAAGGTATAGAGTCTGCTGGTAAGCAGACACCAGAAAGTGGTCGAATAGTTACGAGCAACCGAGCGCAAGAGCATGCGTCCGCAGTCAAGGTCACGATGGCAGGACGGGCACCGAAGTTACGGTGGAGGTTCAAACAACATGGCGTACGGCGTTAGATTGTCCCCCCCATTTAACGTCCGCTATTCTCAGCGCCAGTGTTCCGCCTGTACGGCTTTAGCCTATTAAAGTGCACTACGGTCAATGAACATGGTACCCATGGGCGCATAATCCTACGGGTAAACTAAAACAACCCGTTCTCTACCATATGCGGGCTTTCCTCCCACCGGAACGTCATGGGTACGCTCGGTGAAGTCTGCACTACTTTGAGCCACAATGAGTTGCCAGACTTGAAGGGGCTACCGAATGCTTTGCGATCGAAATATGTTTTCTGGTAACGAGAGTTTAGTAGATGTGCCTGGGCCCACTGATGCGCTCGGACCAAAATGGCCTGCATCTTGAGTATGTATTCAAATGCAGTCATCGATTCGTGGTAGGCCGTCGGCAATAAAATGTCCGATTGTAATTGAAACTCGCGTCCCGTCATCATGAGGCGCGCGGTTTGCCCTGTGGAATGAACAGTGGCTCGATATACAAATAGGCACATCGGTAGATTAGGGTCCCATTCTCTGGTTGTTTCTTCGATTATGAAGGATTGGAATAGCACTTTCAGCGTGCGCTTCGTGCGGTCCACCAATCCGTGATTTCCGAATTTCAACTATGTGACACAGTTCGATCATCAGGGTGCTCTCGAAGTTAGATCCGCCATCGGAAGGTAGCTAGTAGGATGCGCCTCATCTTGCCACCCACAAACTGAAGATAGTCCTCGCCACGTCCCATGCATCCATGTTCTGGCGTGGAGCTGTCTCACGACAATTCGTAAAATAGTCAAGCAAGATTAAGACGGAACGGCTTTTGAGGGGTGTCCGGTAACGGGCGGATGATGTCGACGCCGACTAACTCGTTAAGGAAACCAGCTGACATTGGTTGTAGTGGTGCGCGGATGGTTGTTGGAGAGGTTTTTGCTTCAAGTGCAGACTGAGCATGATTCACAGTAGCTCGCCACATCGTGCTGTAAATAAGACCATCAGAAATGACAGCGAAGTGTTTGTTCCAACTTGTTCCGCCCTGCATGAACCAACCCCCATGCAAGCGGCGCATGACTTCTTGAGTTGCCCTCGTTAGGACAAGAACTGAGTACGCAGGTTGGCAAATTCTGGAGAAACATTACGCCGTCGAACATGCGTCAGCATCACCAACAGAAGTACATCAGCCATTTGAACTGATGCTTCGCTGCCATACAATCATCATGACCTATGGAATAAAGAATAATAAGAACAGAAGGAGGACTTATTTGAAAACCTTAATACCCTAAGCAAACATTCAGGGTCAAGGCGCCTACACCTCGTGTAGACAACATACCGTCACAAACAGCAGGCTATCGTGCAAAGATAAGGCGGCACCGGCGAGACAGCTTCTTTCACTGCCTCGCATCATAATCAGCCATTACCCCGCAGATAACTCAGCACCAAACACACTTTAAACAGGCAACCCAACTAGGAGACGGCAGCAGACGCGCCACTGATGTCGGTTGCGAGCCATCTACTGTAAAGTCATGTGGACTCCAGCCCGGAAGGCGAGACGGACCAATGGCACTCAGTTTGGTCATCAGTGACTTCATTTCCCGCTGCCAAGTCAACTTCTGTTCACCTCGAGATTTGCGCCACCATACACCTGGTAGACTGAACAAGGCCCTCCTAGGTAAGCGGTGACCAGGTAAACGTAGCACGTGTCCGAGCCAACGCAACTTATTCAGTGCTATCTGTTGTTTTAACGAGCTAGCATGATTGTAACTGCCTAGTACTCGTCGATGCACATCACCGTTGCACACACGTTGGTGCAATCCGACACCAGCAATGTTCCGTAGACAAAAATGATCACAGACTTGAAGGCGCCTCAGATCTTCAGACCGAAGGGGTCAAGTCTCACTACCATAGGGCAGGACGGCCCTCAATGTGGCCTTGCATATACGGCCTTTCAGACGGAGGGAAATTCCCTTCTGTCGCCAAAGATGCCGCACGTTCAAGAAGGCAGCAATGGACTTTGCAATGAGTGAGCTGACGTCAGTTTCTAGGTGCCCATTGTTGCTGATGCAGCTGCCAAGGTAAGTGAAATGATCAGCCATCTCGAGTTCCACGTTAGCAAGAGTCAAGTAGTCATTAAGTGTCTGGTGGTCCTGTAGCAACACCTTGCACTTTGAAGGTGCGAAGTGCATACCAAATAATGGGACCACTCTGGACAGGCTATTCAGGATTGATTGGGCCGCCACAACATCGTCGAAAAGCAAGACGATATCGTCCGCATAATCTAGGTCAACTAACCTTTCACCAGACAGCACTTCAACGCCTACATCGTGAGAGTCCGCAAGGTAACACTCCACGATAGAATCCACGACGAAATTGTACAAAACTGGGGAAATCAGACATCCCTGACGAACGCCACTAGTGGTCGGAAAGCTATCCGACGGATAAAAGTAGACTCTGACGCGGCCTATAGTGTTCGAGTACAAAGCACGAAGGATGTCCACATATTTCGTAGGAACACATCCGCGCAAGTATTTCGAACAGAATGGATCGATCGACAGAATCAAACGCACTCTTGAAATCGAGGAACATGGCTACTGTCGGTCTGCGGTATGCACGACGCTGCTCTAGCACCTGCCCGCAGCGGGAATATATAGTTTATAAAGCCACGTCCTGGCAGGATACTGGCCTGCTCTTCCCTAATCCGAGATTCCTATTCCACAGCAAGACGAAGAACGAGAATCGATGCCTATAATTTTGTCACAACTGGCGTTAGGCTAATACCCCTGTGGTTAGCACAGTCTGTGCAACTGCGTGTCTTGTATATTGCCACTATAATCGGTTCGCTCCAATTAGCCGGGACACTTACTTCCAGATACGTTCGAATAACGAGATGAGTGCTTTGCAGAGGACCACATCTTCATCCTTAAATAGTGCAGGTGAGAGTGCGCTCGAACCATGTGGAGAAGCAGATAGACCATGCCGAAGCGGGTAACCCTTCAAGCAGCTCCATAAAAACCACTACTGCAGTTTCTGAGGACTCATAGCGGATTCCACATATCATGCGCATGACATTTGCGAATACAAAAAAGTCACACGGAGCCAGCTCTGGGTTGTAGGGTGGGTCACCAACATCCTGGATACGTTCTTTATCCAGAAAATCTACGATGACATGGAA